TCGAATAAATCAAGCTACTGAGTTATAGCCTAAGGGCAAGGTTATTTGCTATGGTACGAAATGCTTCGAAATATATGAAATGTGCGAAATATGCTACCTAAATTGGGAGGCAAACGGTTCACTTGATAACAATTTAGAAGCACGGCTCACGCAATAATTCTACAGGACGAAAGGTGGTAGTCCTAGTTCCTTTCGATCAAATTCATTTATCAAAAATTTATCTATTTTTAAAATACAGGAAGAAAACCGAAAGCCATTTTATGCCTAAAAATAATATATGACAAATACGCAGTCAGCGGCACCAGCTGGTAAAAAATGTCTAGGTTCCAATTTTAATTAAATATTCCTAGGCAGCAGTTCGGAAACGTGTGGGCCCATTCAAAACAAAGGTTGGGTTAGTTTTAGTAATCTGATGGAATTAATGAAATATTTTTAAAGAGAATTAGCCTAAGTGAAAGCTTCACGCTAAGAACAATTGTGCCTTTGTAAAACTGAGCACGGAGATGGTTTTGAGTTGAAATACAATCGATAAAAATCGGTAAATTTTTTTAATTTTTCCTAATTTTGTCATAAATTTAGTGAAAGTAAACCGGAAAGGATGAACACTCGGTGACGAAAGAAGAAAACAACTTCAGTGAAAAAAAAAAACGTTTAAATACTATATAAATATAGCTCGAAATTGTTCCAAAACAGAGGTCAACAACGAAATAATTTCAAGTACCCATTTTGTTTACAACAACATACCAACATTGGCTGCCCTTGAAAATGAGGTGCTTTCGGTGATTTAACCCTTTTTATTTGGTCTGACGCCACCACGCATTGTAACCAACTCTTCAGCACTTGTTGGATGTATTGCTACTGTGTCATCAAATTGCTTCTTTGTGGCTCCCATCTGTAAAAATTTTTTTGAAGAAAAACTATTAAAAAACTTATTGTTCATCTTCCTTCGCACACCTTTCAAAAAAACATAGACGGATCAAGGGCGGTATCCTGGAGGGAGGAGGGGGGGGGGCGATTTTACTTCCCCATTCCCATAAACTACGGCGATGACTAACGGGGGAGGGGAAGGGAGCTCCCAGAGTGATGAGGAGCGGAGGAGGGAGGCAAGCGGTATCGAACAGAGTTTTCTACAGTAAAACAGCTGCTGTCTGAGTCCCATTAAAATAATTTTTGGTGAAAGGAGCCCCTTTTGCAAAGCAGTCGAATCAAAGAGAATCAAATTTCAGTTTCACTATATCCGCATTTTTTGAAACACAACCAATCAACTATTACATCATCGGCCCTTGCGCTTCATACATAGCAGTTGGAGTTTATCAACCCATAATCTATGTCAACATTCTCTCCGTAGTGCTGACTACTATTACATGCACGGCATTTTGACTATTTCTCGTGGATATCCGCAAAATGTGTTGTGGAAATTGGAAGTCGCAAAATTTTCCCCCTACCTCATTTTTTGTAAGAGATGACAGCATCCGGAATTGGCTCAAACGATGGCCTTTTTTCAACAACAACCACAACCACACATTCAATAAGATTGCTGATGGTTTACTTTTTTGAAAGAAACCAATTTATTCCACATACAGGCTTGCTTATTTGGGAGATCTAATGCCGCTTCCAGTTTTTCATTGATTGTCAAAATTCAATTATATTCCTCCCCAAGTTGGGCCAAAAACGCCAAACAAACTGCATATGTTAACAAATAGACGGTTTCATGCCTCCGTTCACTTCCAGTCTCCTTGCCAAGAATATTCACTGTTTGTATCTTTAAAATTTCTAAAACGTCTTATCCCTTTACAATGTAGACTGGTTACTACCACTTTTTTAAAGAGTCTTTTTTCTGAAAAAAGCATACTTTGATGGCAACTGCGAAGCCTTGCAGTATTTCATCGGCGCCATCGCCCAGTAAATGTAAACCAACAACCTGCAAAGTTAAGACTCAAAATCCCCGTCGTATTTACATTCAGAGGTGTCCCAATTGCTAACTGGTGCCAGTAGTAGCCACCCACAAACAAAACTGTAGGCGACTTTGTCTTCTAAAGGTTCGCGAAAAGATCAGATAGCAAGTAACATGCCATCAAAGTTTGTGTAGTGGCAAATGATACAAGTAAACAATCAGTGTTGCTCGTGTGAATGCTCCAGTAAAGCATACTTCCCATCGGTGCCCGACCATTTATACAAGTAACGACCGTTTTTGGGTGCAGTACTCGAGCATTTACTGTAGGCCACTTGTTTTGGCAAGCCATCGTAGCACCGAGTTCAAGTAACGCCCGGAAAATTTTTATGTAACATAGCTCGATCGCTCGTGGGTAGCATGTGGCGGGGCTTCAGCTTCGTGTCGCTCGACAACCGCTTTATCGTGCTATGGGACTGCTTCGTCGTGTGATGGGATGGTTGTTTTATCACGTCCTCTGCTGCCGGTGGACGATAGCAGAATGCGACTTTTGGGACGAGAAAGGACAGGCTCGTTTCTAATCCATTTTATGTGGTTTTTGATAATTTTTTATTTTCAATAATTCTACTTTAATTTAGAAACGAAAATGCCACCATACCCCGGTTTATTGGGCAGAGGTCCTAGATTCTAACAATAAATAATCGTAAACTGCAAAACCATTCCGTGGATTTATTGGGTGTGTTTCAAAAAAAGTCTTGTCCTAAACCTATGAAGAAGCCTTGTCCTGATCCTGATCTCATCGGACTTTTGCAGCATTAGTCCTTGTACTGCTAAGGGGCGGAAGAACAATAGCCCCCCCCCCCTTTACTCCCTTTTCCCTGTGAATTCACATATGGTTCGAGCGTCAGTACGTCACAAATTCTAGCTATTGTGATTTTTTTCATAAAAAAAAACCCCTTGTCCTGATCCATCCACTCCTTGTCGTGTCTGCCTAATCGTTTCATGATTCATGCAATAGCTTGGGCCACTTGAATTCCACCGAAACAATGCGATCGGCAAAAAATCCTTTACCGTTGCTTGACCAGCTTAGGCCAAGAAGATTTCAGTTCCATATTATTTATTGCCCCTCCCCTTCCCCCTT